AGTATTTTCTCTTTTCAGCTGTTAGTCCAAAATTCAGATATTTAATTAACATTATATGACAAAAAAATAAGCAAATCCTTAAATGTTATGGCTAAAACCAACAAATACTGGCTATTTGTGTTTGAAAAATGACTCCATTCATTTATGGAATTTTTATTAATTGCATTATTATGACTTAATGTTAGAACTACTGGGAAGTGCTGAAAAGGTGATTTCGTAATTTTAATTTTATTTAAATGGATTAGAGGATAAACCCCTTGAGATGTTCCATCTCGTTTTCGGGGGGGGGGGGGCCCGCACACACAAAAACAAGAGGTTATCAGATACAATAACATAGATGCATAAATGTAATAAACCCTGCAGTGTCAGATTTGTTGGGTGTTACAGGAAAGCTGCAATACATACATGTGTGTTTCCAACTCTGCTTAACAAAACAATGTAATTCAGTTTTAAAAGCTTCATCTCATTCCATGAGCCTGTCAGTGTGAAAAAGATGTGTCTTTGCTCTCTCCCTCTGCGTGCAGACCTCCTCCGGATGTTCTTTGACTGTCTGTATGATGAGGACGTAATCTCCGAGGACGCCTTCTACAAGTGGGAGACGAGCAAAGACCCCGCGGAGCAGCAGGGGAAGGGTGTGGCCCTCAAGTCTGTCACAGCCTTCTTCACTTGGCTGCGGGAGGCGGAGGAGGAGTCAGATAATAATTGATGAGGGAGACACCCGGGGACATGACATAGTAGAACTGCATCCTTACAGCAGAGCAAACAAACATTCAAAATGGGTGTGTGAGCAGGACGACACGTTTACGGCTGGAATATTTTTCTGCGGTACGGTTCTGAAGCATGCCGCCATTTTGAGTTTGGATTCCAACGGCGGAAGCACTAAATACCTGTATTATACATAGAAAATATTTTTGTTTTAAATTTTAACTTTTCTTTTGTTACTTTTTAAGAAGAGACTTAAAAGACACATAGGTTCTGGACTCTTTAATTTATTATTTTTTTAAGGACTGCAAATATGAAAGTTATTTAACATTTGCAGATGCTCACAACAACAGAACAAATAACAATATAATTAATTATAATAACAAAGTAATGATTGTGAAATAAATTGTCTCCCTGAATTCCATACTGTTTGGTTTAAAACAGGGTAAAACAAAATTATTTTGGGATGAAGTGGAAGCAGATGAAAAGGAGAGGATGCACAGGAGCTAATAACGTTACTTGTGTATGATGTTGGAGGTCAAAGGTTATCTCGCTCACTCGCTCTACATTGATATGTACATAGCGATATGCATTGAAGAAGCGATGCAAGTCAGTCCATGGAACTGTCCGACCAACGCAACAAACCAGATACATCCAAGTGAAATGAGCAAAAACGCAACTTTAAAAAACAAGTGAACATAACATGCTTGTAATACTTCACACCTACAGAGCAGATGAAATGCTTGTAAATACATTAAAGACAAAAAGGTATTTAAAAATACTGATTCTCATGATTTGCTCTTTTGGAGGTGGTGGTGGGTTGCCAGTTTTTTTGCTTTTCTTGAGTCCACGTTGTGTGTGTATTTGTGTGTGCAAGGCATGTGTAATAAAGTTTCCCTGTTTTGGACAGCGCCGTAGCGGCCGCAGAGGAGCTGTTTTGTTTGAGCAGGAGAAGCCCCCAATGCACCAAATGACGTCCGGCCCTGAAATCCCTGTGCGGGTCTGCTCAGTCGCTGAAGCATCAACACACTGCCAGTGCCAAGCAGTTCATTGTTGTATTCTTGTTTCTTACCACACTTTTTTTTTTGTTTGTTGTTTTTTTTTTTTTGTTTTTTTTTTTTGCAGTGTGTATCTAGTTGTGGTCAGATATACGTTAATATTACAGTGTCTGTGGTCACATGCCTATCAGATCACCCAAAAAGCATTTTAGGCACCAATGTGAATATAGAGCTGTAACAATTAACTGGCAGAAAATATCTGTCAGGTCCTTCTCACATTTATCAGAATCTAGTTTTAAGACCTTAACTGTATTTGTTTAAATTGAGCTTATTTGTTGCAGGTTGAATAGTTAGAAAACCTTGAGTAAAGTAGTATCAGTCTGCCATAAGTACTATAAGGCGGCAACCAACAATTATTTTAAACAAGTCTGACCCCGTTTACTTTTTACTATTTTAATTGTTTAAACTCAAACTATAGCTCCCATAAGGCTTAGCCATACACATCCCACCAAAGCACCAAAGGTGTAGTCTTTGAGTGTCTTATACCATAACAAATTGATTTATATTGGTTAAAATAATTAGTTCTGTGACTGAAAACCTCACTGTCATGTCTGAGCTTTTTAGAAAGGTCAAGGGAGAACTTAAACATTTGTATGGGTGTTTAGCCGGTAGGCTAACGCAACAATGACAAGTGGCCACAAACTTTCGGCCGTTTTTACGTTTGTAGTTTGAATTTTTCGCCGGCCATGACAGTGGAAACCCTACTTCGACGTGCTGTGTGACGCTGTGACGTACCCAACGGTCCGGGTGGGCGGGGCTCGAAAACAAAAAAAACCCTAAATAAAGGATCGTGCAGAAATTTACTCCAAAATATTTCACTTTTTCTCGACAAATAAAAGGTAAGGTTCGTTCGTATTGTGGTGAGTTCTTAGCTAAACATTTAATTGCACGGATGGACAGATGGGAGAAAAAAATAATCTCAGGGCGATGTGTTTTTATTCCAAGTAGCTCAAATGTATCCGTCTTGTGCGACGCCATTACTGTGTGTATAAACCAACGGACAAAATGGCGAAATTACCGAAAATTTCAGGGGACGCATGTTATATCTCGTGTAAAAATGATCGAATTTTGTTGGCAAAGGCAGGCGGATGAACCAGGCAGCGGTGCTCCGTCGTAAATGCGGTTTGTTTCGCGAAATACAAGCGCAGCTATTCTTCTGTTTGAGGATGATGGGCCACAATGAATGAAGTGGTGCATGGCGGTCTTATCACTGTTCAATCGGCCTCACACCCGTGATGTCCTAATGTGGTGTTCAGGTGCGTGCTGTTTTCTCCACCCAGGTAAAACTCGTGTAATGCCGATTCGCCGAGCAGCAGCAGTGACTCCAACCCAGGAGAAGGCCCCCTCCACCGCAGCAGAGAAAGGTGAGGCCAGGGTCGTCGTCACCTGAGCTAGGTCCCGGTGACCGCACCATCATCACCGTGGTGTCTGTGTAGACACACTGTAGTTTGTGTATCCAGTGTGGATTCACAGAAAGAAGCCTCAATCCATCAGCAATAGTAGTATCAGAGCCAAATACTACAATATTATAGGTATTTACATGCATACATTAAATTAGAAAGCCTCTTTGTGGGGAGTGGGGTCAACACACCCTTAAAAACGAGGCAAATAACCCATTTAAGCTGTTGGCCCAACATTATAACAAAAGTCCCAGCTGGCATGAAAACACAGTTGTCATGGAATGCAAGTCTTTAGAGAGTGCAGGCCTACAGTAACTGCTGTCAGGAGCCACAAAGTCAAATGGAGCAAAACAACACAGCCACACACAGGGGAGATATAACAATCCTACACTTCTCGGAAACACTGGCATTAACCTTTCAACTCCCAATTAAGAATATTCCAGTAATCCACATCACGGGTCCCTGGGCATCTTTGTGGCCTAGTGGTTAAGGTGCTTGCCGTGTAACCACAATGTCCCTGGTTGGATCACACCCTATGTCTCCTGCTGCAAGTTGTACAGTCATGGACAAAAATACTGGAGCCCCTGCATTTCTGTCAAATAATGCACCACTCCCAGAAAATTGTTGCAACAACATTCTTTCATATTCTCATGTTTATTTCTTTTGTTAGCATGGGAGCAACACAAAAGAGTTGAAAAAAAAGCCAAATCTGATACCTTCCACTCAGATCTCCAAAAATGACACCCTCAACTTAATATTTGGTAGGACACCCGTTGGACAAAATAACTGAAATCAATCACGCCCTGTAACCATCAGTGAGTTTCTTCCACCTCTCTACTGGAATTTTGGACCACTCTTTTGCCGACTGCTCCAGGTGTCTCAGATTTGAAGGGTTCCTCCTCCCAGCTACTGTTTTGAGATTTCTCCACAGGTGCTCTGTGGGATTTAGATCTGGAGTCATTGCTGGCCACTTCACAACTCTGCAGCTCATTGTCAGCCAGCTGCAGTTTTATTATCTAGCAGTGTTTTTAATAATACCTAATGTTACTAAGCAGTGCACATTTATGTAAATGTAAAACAAGGTTTTACAGTATGAGATGTTTTATGGAATTTGAGCTCACTAATATCTTTTATTGGTAACGGGTGTTTTGGTGGTTAATTTCACATGTATGGGCTTGGGTCCTTGGGGGCAGGCTGCATTTTAGGGCTGTTAGTCAACAAGCCGACGGTCAGCCGTCAGGCCACCTGTGAAAGCCTGTCAAGGCTCACCTTCCCGGTTTGTCCCGCACATTTGGCACTAGTCGGACCCTGTCGGTGGCTTTTCACCAGATTTGGCATGTTGAATCGCCCTCGTTGTTGAGAAAGACCGCGCTGATTGGTTGTTCAGCTTAACGAATCAGTGCATGAGAAGGGAACTGTTTGGGGAAAGTCTCTTCAGCCTGTCTCATTAGTATCCATGATTTCACACATTGTGTGTTTTCTCCTTGTTTTTCGCCTCTACAACCTCCTTTCTTCTTCTATAGTCAAAAAAACCAAGGACAGCTTCTTATCAGACATATTCTTGATTAGAAGCAGCTATAAACATCATCTGTGTTGAATAAGAGAATCTTTTTTCCTGTGGTCTAGTTATTTTTCTTTTCTCTATCTGTATGGTAAATATAGATAACCACCACCGGCTGGTACGGGACTTCTCTCTCACAGGCACAGACCATACGTGGTAGTCGGTCGTTGGCTGTAATCTGTGCGGCGTGTTCAAGTGCCACTTTTTTGATCTTACTGTCCCAAACAAAGGCGATGTGAGGTGATGCAACAGTCAGCCTTCATTGTTGCTAGTTTTTTCATGTCAGCTTGGTGTCTCTGCCCTTAGTTTTAGGTCCCCGAATAAAGAAGTTGAATGGTCCCTGCTCTACACTACCAGCCATACTGTAAATAAAAACAAAAAAGAAAATGTGCCTTATGTATTTACGATATTCTCATTATCATCACATCTTTTTCTACTTTAATGTCACTGGCTTTCCCCTCTCAGAGCCTGAGGCCTCCTCAAAAGAGTCTCCTTCTGCTGATGCGGAGCAGGCTGCATCTTCAGCTGCCACAGCTGAGGCCGGGGACAGCAATGCCACAGGTGATGGGGAGCCCACAGAGAACGGGGAGAAGACCGAACAGGAGGCTGCAGTAGAGAAGGGAGGCCAGGGGGTGAAGAAGAAAGAGTGAGTTTCACCAGAGAGCTAGTCTGCAACTCTGAACTGCGATATTTCACTTTGATAGCACTTTTATCTGTTTATATGATCCTTACCTGTGCTGGATAACGGCAGACTGCGCCTCTTAGGGCTGCAGTGTTGTGACTTTTCAGAGCCACATTCATTCCCTCATCAGACAGACATGTACCAGACACTTTGTCTGCGGTCTCGGAGGAGTCCAGGAGGAGAGGAAACTGGTGTCATGAAAGTCTGACACTTTGTAACTAATTCAAAGAAAAAGGAGCAGCGTTAGTTACTACGCTACATACTTTTCAGAATAATGTCAAAAATATTTTCCCCTCTTTCATAAAAATAAAACTAAGCAATATGTGTTGTGAATACTAGACAAAGCCCTTCTCTTTTACCGTAAGTGACTCAGTTTTTTGGGCAGTTCAAAAGCCAGTAACAACCATTGTTTCATCTCCAGTTGTCCAAAATGTGTATGGGAACGCAGGCAGTATAAGGACATACTATTTTGGTTAAACACCTGACGTAGTAACTTGTAAGTTTGGTAACTTCTCCTCCTTTTCTTCTCCCAGACCTTGACAAAGCAGACATTTCTGTACACAGTTCACTAGCACAGAAATTCAGTTGGGGTCAAATTACTCTGGTGGTCATTGAGACATGTTCTGAAACTTATTTTGCCTTTCCCGTCGGTGACAAATGGACAAAGTGACAAATGCAAGGACTGCGCGGCTGGACAGTGCGCAACACACTGCTATGTTCTCCTACTAAGGTGAGGATGTGATAAAGATAAGGGTGGTGACGATCACAGTGAAATATCGCTTTTAAAGAATTGACCCACTTCACTGAACTTGTCTTGCTCCTTTTGGCAACAGGTTGAAGGATGGCTACAAGTATGAGAAATCCAAAGGCAAGAAAGTGAAAAGGACGATTCCTGCGTGGGCTAGTGTCACTTCCAGCAAAAAGCTTCCCATTACCAACTTTGCGGGCACTCAGAACAAAGTGGATAATGTCCTCATTGAAGCTATTACGGTGTGTACACACTTTATAAATCCATCTTGCAACACTGCCAGTTGCTCATACTTTTTATTTTTGTTAAAGAAATCTCTGAGATTTCTTCTCAATTTTCTTTGCAGTCTTGTAACAACAGGTCGGGGGTTTCATACCAGTCTGTCATGAAATACATTGTGAAAAACTACCCAGGGCTGGAGCTTGACAAGAAGAAGTTTCTCATCAAGAAAGCAATGAAGAAACATTTGGAGAAGGGTACCATCAAACAGGTGAAACATATACATTTTTATATTAATCCTTTGTACTAATATAAATAAAAGCATGGTCTCACAAGAGGTAGCATGCATCGTTACCTAGGGATGTCCTGATCCAGTTTTTTTTTTAACCTCGATATGGATCCGGTTTTTAAAAAATTTCATATTGAATTTGCTTAAAGTGCGAGTGATGTGCCAGCCAACAGCAGGAGTGATTTTACTATAGCAGCTTATCGGTTGTGTGACACACGCATCTTAAATACAGTGCACTAAGTGCAAAATCTAATTTCAGTGACGCTCATTAAAATGTGTACAAACCCAGGAAATGTCAGCTCTGCTTACTCTTGATTTTTCTTTCTGTCCGCCGTAGCTGAAGGGTAAAGGCCTTTCAGGAACTTTCATTATCGGGAAGCTGTCCCCCTCATCTAAGGTACGTTACAGCAGAGGCACTAGATCTAATCTAGTCCTCATGTTAAAGACCCAGTGTCGGCAGCTCCCTGTTGTAATCGTCATGTCTGTAAATGGATGGCGTTTTAGAAATCCGCTCAGAAGCAGGAGTCCCTGGGAGATGCTCTTCCTCTCATCATCACTCGGCTCTGTGAGCCCAAAGAAGCCTCCTACGGTCTGATAAAGAAATACCTTGAGCAGCACTTCCCCAGCCTCAACATTGAGACCAGGTACAGTTACTTGTGGGCATTACAATTAATTTGTTTTTTAACCATTACTTTCTCCCTGTTGGATGCTGTTTTGTATAATCTTTGAGACAACATGGGCTGTATCGAATGATTATGTTCATGATTAGTTCTTATGTTTTAATTTTAACAAGTCTTGGGACAAATTTACAGAAAACGATCATTTTCTAAAACTTTAAGTCAAATAACTGTAGCACTGTGAAAACAAAACAATTCAGTCACTAATACTTTAATTTATTTTATGACTTTAAATGACAGAGTTTAAAAAGGCAAAATGTGGTAAAGATGAGTCTCTAGTGTAGAAATTCAACATAAAAGATGACACAGCTTTTGAAGCACATTGTTTTACCAGTGGCCTGAACGTCAGAGCCTTCGTAACGTTCACCCTATAAAAAGAAACGTCTAGAGCTGTTGTTCTCTGGGATTATTGACTGTATCAGTGATGTGTTGACTGGTTTGTCCTCAGGCCAAACATCCTAAAGGCAGCTTTGGTGAAGGCAGTAGAGAAAGGACAGCTGGACCAAATCACCGGGAAAGGAGCCAATGGGACTTTCCAGGTAAAGCTCATAATTACACTGTGGTGTGAAATCTACATCTAACTGATCTCTTCTTTCAAGTGTCACAATCACAATGACAGACTATCACATTCACACCGTGGTTGTGTAGTTGAAGTAATTTACAGAGTGACTTTCATGTTTGAGGCATTATATTAACCTGTTGTCTCACTATGTGGAGGCATTGTATGTGCCGTGGTGTTTTTGTAGAAGCAAAGCACATGTTTCAAGTTGATATTAGATATGTAGGAGCAGTTTGTTTCTCAAAGGATAAAGCCAGGAAGAGAGCTACTAAAGATTATGCACTGTGTAAAGTTATTCTCATCTTGTTTTTCTGCTTGGAGGAAGTATTGGGAACATGAGTAAATGATGAGTTATGTCAAAAACAAAGAGACGCCACATCTGAAGTTTTGGGATGAATGCAAGCTGTATCTTGTTTTGCTTTAGCAATAAAGGGATAAGTTCTGCTGCTGTTAACATCGCCTTCTGTCTTGTTTTGTTCAATAAACATCCCATAATATATGGTTTAGTGTTATAGACGACTAAGGAAATTTTTTTTTAAATGACTCAATGATCGGTCAGTTGCCAAAAAAGCGGGCATTACTTTTCTCCTAAAAATGTTTATTTGCTGCAGCTGAAGCGTACTGGGAACCAGGTCCTGATGATTTTTACAGCTGCGATCACAGCCATGAATGAGCCTAAAACCTGCAGCACCACCACTCTACGCAAATACCTGTTAGACGCCAACAAGGACACAAAAGAGTACCAGTTAGGTGAGACTTCTCTCTTGTTTGAAAGTCCTAACAGGACTTCTGCTAACTACTGACTGCTATCTGTGCTAATCACAAATCAGGCTTAAAGTAAAACGGAACAAGGTGAGTATCAAATGGATAGTTTGCAGTTGGAAAATGCTCTAAATCACAGTTTAGTTTCACTCTGTTGTGGTTACAGTGATCCAGTGTCCATCTCAAACCTCATATACAAGTGTCCAGCTTTAGTATGAACATTTTTGCACGTATTTCAGCTATGAAAACACTCCTGACTAACCGGCATGAATTCAAGTTGACCACCACTATTTGGTGTGATGGACAAACCTGCAAAACCTGAGCAATCACTATTTTGGGTGGGGTGTCGCCTTAAAGACTTTTTAGAATGTGTTTTTATTGCATTTGCAACATGAAACCAAAACAGAGCTTGATGAGGTTTGGGTAATGTAATTTGTGCATCCAAAATGGTCTTACTAAAAAGGGGAACTCTCTTTTTCAGTGGCCAAACTGAGGAGGACCCTGACCAAGTGTAAAGTGCTCGGGTGGATGGAGCAGATCACTGGCCACGGCTTCACGGGGACCTACCAGCTCTCGTTCCCTTTCTACCCGAGGTATAGCAACTAATGTGTTAGATTATTTAACTGTTCAATACTATGAATCCCTTTTTTTCTTTACAGTCTGTTTCAAAACCTGAACCTTTCTGGTTTTATTGCTTAAGACACTGCAGCTGTTAAGTGACACATGGTGAAACACATGCGCAGAGATTTAGACTGTTCTAGTCATGAGAAGCAATGTAATTCTGAAAATATCTATTAGTGGATTTATATTCAGTGTATAATACTTCGATTTAAAAGGAATAATTAAAAGAACTTGTCTCAAATAAACAGAGTATGCTTCCATAGCTGAGATGTCCCGATACTGGGGGCGAGCCAGGCCTATTTTAAAGTTTTGGTTTTGGCTAAAAATAAAATAGAACCGGTCAAATGCCTATCCTTATTTTCTTTTACTCTGCTGCTGCTGGTTCTTAACCTGAGGGTCTCTGTTTCTCTCTGTCTTCTCTTCTGAAGTGGTGATCTGCTCAGACGCACACACTGAGAAGAGGTTATATTTTACCCGAGTCGGCCAAATTGCTCATTAATCAAAGCAACAAAGTCTAATGGAACGAGTGAGTTTTAAACAGCTGGCAGAAATGTGACATCTTTGCCGCTTTGCACATAGTCCGCTTGCTGAAGTCAGTACAAGTGTTTACACTGTGCTTTCTAGGGTAATGTTAGCAACGTCTTGGTATTTTAAAGTGAAAACCGTGACACAGTGAAGCAGAGATGCTTGCACAGCTTATATACTTGGCTTTATATACGTCTTGTGAGACCTATTTATCTTTTTAGTCCCACCATCCTATATCCAGACAAGTTCAAAGAGCTTCCAAAGAAAAATGCTCCACCCAAGAGGAGGCAGACGGTTGAATCATCTGAGGAGGAAGAGGAAGAATCAGAAGATGAGGAAGAGTCTGAGGATGAAGCTCCCTCCCCTAAGAGGTGGGTGTAACAATTTACTGGGACACTAAAGTAACTGCTTTGATTAAAAGAGACTTAAATTAATGGCTGCACACTTACTCAGATCAGTTTATGGACAGTGTTTTCCAGTCACCATCACCAGGTTAAAATGTTTACAAAAAAAAAAAAGGTGACCGTCTCCATCAAAGTTGGAAATGAACCTTTTTACCTGTCACTGTGAACGGTGGATTCCAAAACCAGCAGTGTAACTGTGTGTGAAAAATAATCCAAGAACTGCTAATCAAGTATGATTATTTTGGTAAATGAGTCCTTTTATTTCATATTTTAAAAGATACTGCCATTTTCTCTGTCACACACACACACATTCACGAACTGTGAACTTATGGAAGTTACATTTGAGTTGAGCAGAATAAACAAAAAGCAAACAGTCCTCCTCCATCCACATTCCCAGCCCCATTTTAATGTCAGTCCTGCTTGTTTGAATTGGATTCTTATGTTTTGGAGGCGCTTTCCTCTCCACATTACATATAGAGTAACTGAATACTGTATGTGTATTTAGCTATTATATATCCTACCTGGCTTAACCCTAAGGCGATTCTTTTCAAACGCTGGTCACTAGCGGGTGTTGTATGCTCAGGTTGTCTAGTTAACCCTGTGTGTCTCCTCAGTAGAGTGTCCAAGTGAAACAAACAGACTCGTGACTCAGTCGGCTTTGTGCAGTGTTACAAATTGCTCTGTTACAATTATTTGTTTGTACGTGCTACTTGTACTTACCTGCCCCTGTGGCTGGTAGTTAGCATATTCACTCACCACTCCAAGAAAACACCCACATTTGGCCTTTGGTGGGTGCTGATCTCCATCCCTGCCACCCATATATTTAAACACCAATAGAATGAAAGACAGTGGACAGCTACCATGAAGAAGCTACACCATAAATAATCTCAATTTAAAAGAAACATTTTATTTTGTATTTTACCAGAGTTAAGATGTAAAACCTCTCTTTGGAGAAGAAGGGTATTGATGTCCAGAACCATTTCTTAGGTGTATGTGTGTTAGTTTGTGGTGTATATTAATATTTTTTCCTTTACATTTGATATTTGCATAATTTCACTTCTACTTAAGTAACTGCTGCCTGTTCAAACTACTTTTAGGAAATCACAGAAAAGGCCTCCGCCCAAGGCTCGTCGTCCTCCACCAAACAAAAAATCCCGGAGTGCTAGTCAATTAAAAGCTAAAGGCAGGGGACGCGCCCTTACAAAGAAGTCTCCAGCCAAGAAAGCAGTGTCTTCAGCCAAGAAAGTGGGAAGCAAACAGTCGGCCCCTAAGAAGGAATCCACACCACCATCTAAAGCCACGCCTGTCAAGAGAGGAGCTCCTGCAAAAAAGCCCAAAACGCCAGCGGTTAAAAAGCTGACCAAAAGGGGGTCCAAACAGCCTGCGTCCAGAGAGTCAGTCCCTGAGGAGGCTGCAGTCACAAAGGAGACAACAAAGAGTGGGTCCAAGCGATCTAAGCCTGAGGAATTGTCCCCTGAGGAGCCTGCAGTTAAAAAGCTGGCAACCAAAGGTGGGTCTAGGCGGCCTGAGCCTCAAGAGTCATCCCCTGTAGTCAAAAGAGGGTTGAAGAGCAGCAAGCACTCCACTCGTAAATCAAAGAGAGGCAAGTAGAGAGCCTGCGAACACTTTCCACGAACTGGGTCGCTCTGAACATGCAGCAGTCTGTCGCTTTGCTTCAGTGCTCTCTTATCATTTTCTCCCTTTTTAATGGGGCAGTAGTTTGTTTTGTTTTTTTTAATTTGTATTGTAGAATAACAACTGTTAAGTTTACTGTACATGGAGAGTTTCTGATTTTCCTTTTTATCACCATGTGTAGAAATCTTAGTGTTGCCGTTAAAAATGATGGGTGACCTGCTCGGGAAAGCATAGCAAAATCTGACATACTGCAACTAGAACCATTTAGTGACTTGTTTTTATATCTCTTCCTCATTTGCTTTGTAGGTAGGTATTGGCCGCACAAGTTCCTAATATCACGTGAAGTGAGTTATCAGTATTCTGAGAGGCTGGAATGAAAGACTGTTAAGTTCAGTTGTAGGTTGAGCTGTCACTACAAGACAGGTTTTAAAGCTGTTGTCCCATTTCCTGGGATAAATAGTATTCTGGCCAAGCAGCATTTCATCAGGCTGAAGGTTAGTACTAGTTAGCACTAGTACAAGTCACACTGTTGAGGGGGGGGGGGGGGG